CTCAGTGGCAGAGCACTTTCCTAGCATGCAGGAGGCACTGGGTTGGATCCTCAGCACCACATTAAAAAATCAACAAATAAAATAAAAGGCATTCTATCCATCTACAACCACACACACACACACACAAAAAAAAAAGTAGGCAGAACAGAATTTTGGCAGGCTCTGGTGATAAGAGTAGACATTAGGCATAACTAGTACTTAGCCTCAGGACAGTCTAACCTTCCTCTTGGAAGTCTGTGGGTGTGAACACAGGAAATAGGCAGCAGTAAATAGGCAAAGTCACAGAGACTGGAGGATTTGGTTTTATAGAAGGTAATGAATGACACAGCAGGGCTTGCCCTTTCAGGGAAGATTCCACACTTAAGAACCAAGAGAGAAAGGGTATGTTGTGGGAAGCAAAAGAGCAAGAAATCAGGTACAGGGATTAAGCAATAGTGCAAGAGAATAATGGTAAAGATGTTCCTTAGTCAAACTTTTGAGACAGGAATTTCTTATAAGCCATATAGGCAGGTCCTAAAAGCTTAAGCTGAAGGCTGGAACCAGGACTTGTTCAGCCCAGTTTTTTGTTTTGAAAAAAACAATAAACACAATACTTTCACAACGTAGATATATAAATATACTCATTTTCTTTCTTTCTCCCCTAACTTTTTTTTCCCTTTTGGTATTAGGGATTGAACCCAGGGGCTCTTTATCATTGAGCTGCACCCCCAATCCTTATTTTTTATTTTGAGACAGGATCTCACTAAATTCTAGGGCTGATCTTGAACATCTAATCCTCCTGTCTCAGCTTCTTGACTTGCTGAGCTTATAGGCACGGGCCACTGGGCCCTAGTCTCATTTTCTTTTTGGGCTTTGCAAATATTTGGACTAGATTTATTACAAAGAAACTTTGAAAAGGCATAAATAGTAAACTAGTATTAGTTAGGCATTTTTTTCATTGCTTGTGCTTTTTATCAAATATTACTTTGTGACTCTAGGTTTATCTTTTAGGCCTAAATCCTCATTTATTATTGTTTTTATTTTGGTACGGGGGGATTGAATTCAGGTACACTCAACCACTGAGCCATATATATACCCAACCCTGTTTTGTATTTTATTCAGAGTTGCTTACCACCTTGCTTTTGGTGAGGCTGGCTTTGAACTCTTGATCCTCTGCCTCAGCTTCCCAAACTGCTGGGATTACAGATGTGCACCACTTATTATTATTTTTTGAGGTAGGGTTTCACTAAGTTGCTTAGAGTCTTGCTAATTGCTGAAGCTGACCTGGAACTTGAAATTCTCTTGTCTTAGCCACTCCCTGGAGTGGTGCTGTAAGCCCAGCAGCTCTGGAGGCTGAGGCAGTAGACCAGCTTCAAAGCTAGCTTGGGAAGCTCTTTTGCCTCCTACAACACATCCTTGCTCTCTTGGTTCTCTTAGAAAGACCCTGTCACCAAAAATAAAAATAATTTTTTTTTTTTTTTTTTAATGTCGCCTCACCTCACCTCCAGAGCCACCAGAGAGAGGCTGAAGGGAGACGCCATGCTGATGTCCTGTGTCAGGAAACTGGGCGACTGGGGTGCGCTGGAGCCACAGCGAGCGGGTTCCCAAGTGAACCAAAGTGGGCGACCAATTTCGCCCAAACTCCTGCTTGCCAGAGAAGGGCCCTGGCTGAGGCGGCAGCGGGAGGGGACTGTTGCAAACAGTCTTTAAAAAATTTTTTTTTTTGTAGTTGTAGATGGACACAGTACTTTTGTTTATTCTTTATGTGGTGCTGGTGCTGAGGATCGAACCCAGTGCCTCATACATGCTAGGCAAGCACTCTGCTGCTAAGCCCCAGCCCAGCCCTTGTTTTATTCTTTTTCTAGAGTCACAGGTCTCCCTTGTCTTGATCACTTTTGTTGGCTTCAGTGGCAGATGTAAATGGATGCTTATGCCTCATACTAGTAAAACTTTTTTTGGGGGGAGGTGGTGGTGGTACCAGGATTGAACCCAGCCAGAGGCACTTAACCACTGAACCACATTCCTAGCTGGTTTATATTTTGTTTTAACAGAGTCTTGCTAAGTTGCTTGGGGCCTCACTAAGTTGCTGAGACTGGCTTTGAACTTGTGATCCTCTTGTCTCAGCCTCCCATACTGTGAAACTTTTAATTAATTTTACTAAATTAATACTAAGTACCAAATACTAAGTACTGGCTGAGCCTTCCAATTCTTACCTTTATGCTGTTATTTGGAGGTTTTTCTTCCCTTTACTTTTTTGGATATAGTCCTGGTTCCACCACTAATAGTGTAAACTTTCTTCTTCTTAGACTTCCCATCTGTCAATTATGTCCAGGGGTTGAATTACATCAAAGATATGACGGTTCTAAAATTCTATGCTCCTGAATCAATAATAAGTAAAAATTTCTAATAAATATAATTTCTGAAGTTTTAGAACATGGGTTCATTGGGGAAAAGGTTCTAACTGATAAAATTATTGGTTATAACTGGGATATAGAATGAAGTTTAAAGAATCTTGTTTCATTTAGCTGCTCATTATTTCCTAAATTTACATAATAGTATTACTCTCCAAATTAAGGTTTCTACATCAAAAAATCATAATACTTTTGGGATGGGGAGGTAGCTCAGTGGTAGAGCACTTGCCTGGCATATGCATAAGCCCTGGGTTCAATCCCCAGCACCAAAAAATATAAACAACTTTCAAGATGCTTTACAATATTGGGGGTTGAGTTTATCAGATTTATTTTGGAGGGAATAATCAAGCTAACACTGAAAATTTTGAGGTACTCAAGGGTTATAACTCTTGAATTGATGACAAATTTGTGAAGCACTGCTCATAGCTGGCTTTGTGATTTGCATAGCTAGCCTATTTTAGAATTGTTGATTTTATCATAAGACATTCCCAGCTGAATAAGAAATGATTCAGGGGATAAGTAGGTTTAAGAGATAAGACTATGAAAAACAATCAGAGAATCCAATCTAAGAGGGAGATATATTAGAGAAGACAAGCATCTTAAGTCATGAAGTTTAGGAGTGTTTGGGAAGGAAAAAGAATGTAAGACAAGTCTTTATTTTTGTTCTAAGGATGGAACATGTTGAGTGCGGGCTCTGCCACTTAGCTAAACCGCCAGCCTCCCATGCTATAGTTTTTTTTTTTTTTTTGCACTCGAGATTGAACTCAGGGGTGCTGTATTAAGAAGCTGCACCCACAGCTTCTTTTTTTGAGACTGGGTCTCATTAAATGGCCTGGAACTTGCCATTTTTCTGCCTCAGCCTCCTGAGTAGCTGGGATTACAGGTGTGAGAGACCACACTGGGCAAGACAAGTCTTTGAAGAATTTGAGACTGAAACATGATGACTGGAACTTCCCCAAAGACTCATTTTAATTACATATCAAATAAACCAACATTCTGGTGACGGTGGGGTTGTGTGTAAAACTGTGGCTTCAAATTCTCTCTGAATCCTTGTTTCTTGCTTTCCAGATGTCCCAGAGTTTAATACTTTTTCAAGCTGAACCAGCTCACCAGGTTCAACCACTTTGAGATCACATCCTAGGCATGCTGTAGTGATGGAGCATACTGAGGTCAGAAGCACGTATTTTCCAACTATGGAAAAAAAGAAATTAAAAGGGGGGAAGGGTAAGTGTAAATAAGATTGATGGGGAGCTGGGTGAGGTGGCACACACCTGTAATCTCAGTGACTCTAGAAGCTGAGGCAAGAGGATCGCAAGTTCAGAGCCAGCCTCAGTAATTTTGCGAGGCCCTAAATAATTCAGTGGGATCCTGACTCAAAATAAAAAGGGCTGGGGATGTGGCTCAGTGGTTAAGCTCTCCCGAGTTCAATCTCCAGTACCCGCCCCCGCACTCCTCTCCTCCAAAAAGAGAAACACTGTTGCGGGTAGAAGAAAAAGGATAAGGCAAATGAAAAGAAAATGCAAGGTTCAGGAGGGGTTCACCATCTTTGGATTTTCGACAAGGTGGTACCACTTGGCGGCAGGGAGGGGCCCCGCCTCCTGTGCATGGAGTTCTTGGAGTCTCCAGGATTCCCAAGGACCGCAAAGGCCTGGAGCAGGTTCTACGCGCAGAGCACAGCAGCGAACCTTCCATTCGCGGGGAGATTCTCTGCGCCCAGGTGTTCCTCACCCTTCCTTTTCTCGCCCCGGAAGGACGATTATATCATTCCAACCCGAGTAGCTTGTCAGCTTTTCCATTTCGAACTCCTGCTCTAACGCCAATTTTTCCTGCTTAAAGAAACTGGGATGCAGCAGTAATATTTCTCTTGTCATGGCCGGCCCACTAAAGCGAGCACTCCAGGAGGCTTTCAAGTTTTACAAAGAACCTATTAAATGACGCTGGCCTTTATTTTATATATGTCTACGAGCTGTAGTTACACAAGAAAACATGACCACCTACGCCCGTCGCTGCGCCAAGATTCTCTAGCGCCCCACTCCCAACAAACTCCACGCAGAGGTTACCCGGAGTAGTTCGCTGGGAGACCCCGGGAATGCGAGAGGGAAGCAGGGACTAGCCACCGTGCTGCGCCTGCGCAGTCACTAGGCAGCGCCTCTCGCGGGGCGTGCTCGTACCGCCGCGCACCCTATCAGGCGGCCACAGGGTGCGCGCCCGCGGCCTCGCCCTCTCTGGCCCCGCCCCCGGCCCCTCTCGGCCCGGCTTCAGATTGAGATCCTTCGCTCCTGTCTCCGCCCCCACGTGCCCGCAACACTCTCCTGCGCGCGTGCGCAGAGGCGGACCGCAGGGCGAGGGCGCGAGGGAAGGGCGGGCGTACGTCCTTGCGTGCGTCTCAGGCAGCGCGCACGCCGGCGTGAGAGGGCACGGGGAAAAGGTGGCTCTGGCTGGGGCGGCTCGCCTTCCTGGGGCTATGTAGCTGGGTTCGTCCGTTCGCGGTCTTCCTTTGCTGTCCTCGCCCCGTCCCATCGCGGAGTTTCTGCCCGGGAGGGGCTGTCCTCCCGCCCGCCGAGCTCCCTCGACGGCAGAGCTCACTCGCTCGCTGTGGGAGCGTCCTGGCCGAGCAGCTCTGAGGGGGGAGGGGAGGCCATTTTGTCCCGACCGACTCCCCGGAACCGGGCGGAGCGGCTGGGAGAGGCTGCGGAGCTGCGGTCGCCGCCCTCGGAGGCACGGGACGCCGCCACCGTCGAGGCTTTCTTGAGGAGGCCGTTCCTTGGTCGCCCGCATCCTCTCGAGCCCTCCTTTTTTCCCACGCTTCCCCGGTCCTCCGGCCCAAGAACGCCCGGGTGAGGAGTTGGCCGTGGTGAGAAGGACCGATCCCTTGGGGCCGCCGGCGGCGAGAGCCCGAGCCGCTCCTCCCAATGGCGAAGAAGACGTACGACCTGCTTTTCAAGCTGCTCCTGATCGGGGACTCGGGAGTGGGGAAGACCTGCGTCCTTTTTCGTTTTTCGGATGATGCCTTCAATACCACCTTTATTTCCACCATAGGTAAGACCTGTGGGAGGGTGGCGGACGGCCTCTGTAGCGGCGAGCCGTTTTCTCTTACTCCAGACATCTTGCTTCTCGTAATATACGCCTTTGTTTCAGTGATTCCGATTCCAAACGACAGATCCAAGTTACTGTTTGAATCGGCTTTGAGCTGACTGGGGCGGGGTCTTCCCATGCTTCCCATCCGGTCTTCTGCTTTCAAGGTCTCCCCCTTTGCTCTGCCCGCTGACACAAAATATGCAGCAGTTTACAACGTTCCAGAATCCTGCCTGTTTCTTTAAGTGACTTGACTGGCTTTTTTCTTATTTGTGTAGAATTGCTACATGTGTGACATTTTTAAGAGAGAGATTTTAGTGTTTCGGGTTGAAGCAATACTAGCTAGGTGGTAAAGGCCCTAATTTATACTTGGGGGCAAAAAGAAGATTGCATATGGTCACAACTTGGAGTGAACTTGAGGGTTTGTGTGAAGAATAATTAAGGCAAATTAGAGGGGAAAAGTGAGTTGGCCGCGTTGACTAATCCATTGATGTGCCAAACAATCGGAGGCTCTTCGTGCTTGGGGGGTGGGAATCTATGGCATGTTTGCCTCATAGTGTTTTTCAAGACATCAACAGAAACAGTAATCTGAGAAACATGATCAGCTTCTGTCCTCAACTTGACAGAATGGAGTTTTCTTTTCTGGTTTATTTGATGCTAGAATTTAAAGTGTGTTGTTGTTCACAGCCTTAAGGACTCCTAAAACACTTTGACCACATGTTTCAGAATTACTTGTTGTGAAAGTAAGAGCTAAAGGTTGACCTTTTAATCGGTTTCCCGTTTAGGAAAAGAAAAGGGAAGGATAAGAAAGTCCCTTTTGACTCTGGCACTAACATGACTTGTGTGCTAAAGTAATTGTGCATGAAGTTCACTTTCTACCTCCCACAATCCTTGAAGAACACCTGGTTGTCTGTCATTGGGAGCCCAGCTTCTGCATTGGGTCAGTGGAATAAAACTCTTTTTAAAATGTAACTCATTTTATAATGAGATTATTTAGAGAGGTAACTGCTGTAGTCTTTGAACTCTGGGAGTTGTCAAAATTAAATTGGTTTCAGCCAATTAATAGCATTATAGCTGGTTGGGATTTCTTGTGAAATTTATCAGCAATTTAAGTCATTCTCATAAAACAAGTTATATTGAAATAAAATTGGACAAGTAATTAAATATGTTTTTTATTTAAATCACCTTCTTGGGGAAGGGGGCTTTTCATCATCATTCCCTGGGTACCATACTGTTGAGAGTATCATGATACTTAGAACTTGTTAGCACTTCTTAGCACAAAGTTTGCTTTTAGCTATAGCTGGGTGGGTCAATCAGCAAATACCTAATGCTAGGCACTTTCATAGGCACTGTGGAGAAGTGGTGGACATTGTAGACCCCTTGAGCATTCTGGTGAGGACAATCAGCAGTGTGGACAGTGCTGGAGTAGTAAGCACAGGGAGGAGGGGACTAGTCTGAATTGTGAAGAGTCTGGGTAGTCTTGCATGGACATGATGTCTTAAATGCATTCTAGCCAGGCATGGTGTAGTCCCAGTTACTTGCCAGGCCGAGGCAG